GCATGAGTCGAACGGTTCCATTCTCTGAACGAAAAACTCACTAGCACACTCGCTCAAGCAAATAGCGAGATGGAAACTCCTACCTATGAGACTCCGAATTGACGTAGATGGTCCTGAGGTTCGTGGCATACCAACTTCCTGTAAAACTCAAGTTTTAGTCCCCCGCAGCTGCAAGAAAATCTTAAATTGACCAAAAGGAGACAATCACGAAAAACGTGAGAAATCCAAAAAAACCAAAAGTACAAAATACAAAACAAACTATCATCTTGCCGAGCCAAATGAAACCCCTTTATAACCGCTGCAGCCAAAAGCCTACGCATTTCCTGATCACTGAATCACCAAAAGTAGTTTATCATCAAATGATTTCAACGCTGGAGACGTCGGTTGGGCATCGGCAGCGAGGGATGTGGTTGTATGGGCAATATGCAGTGAGACCATACAACCACATACCTCGCTGCCCTAGTCCTCCTCTAACCATAAGACTGAGCTTCAAAAGGGACTAGGAGAGACGGTGTGCAACCCACTTAAATTTCCCTAAATTCCCCCTCCCCCTCCTCGGCTTCGTTCGCATCACAAGGATGTCAAGGCACCGAAACGGCATTCAGATTTTATGCACTGCTAAAAAGCAGGAACTTGGGCAGAGTGAGACATAACCAATTTTTAGACACTCATTTTCTTCATGACCAAAGAAAGGAACATGGCGAAATGGCACGCAAGTCTGGACGCGTGTGTAAATAAAATGAACTACGAAAAAGAATAAGCAATAAATGCAAATCGACTAACCTCCGGCTCTAGTTCATGCAACCTTTCGCCTCTTCCCATCCTATCCAAATGAGTGTATAGCGTGCCGGGTGGGACACCATATTGTTTTGACAGGAGAGCTTCCACAACAACTGGATCCTCCTCGATCGTTTCATCATTGATGTCAAACTCTTTGGTTGGTTCGGTGTCCAGATCTTCATCTCCTTCTTGGAATCTAGCAAACCATCGATGAACAATAGCATTGGAGACCGTTCCTTCGCCGAACGCTCGATTGACATTCAAAAACGCCAAATTGGCAACATTTCCTAGTTTGAACTCGTATAAAATGCACACTCGAACCTGCCGATCAAGCGGTGGCATTTCTGCAACATTGGTTGGAAAAATACGGATAAATGTGAATAATAACCACATATAAAGTATGCAAACGAGAGTACTTCTTTGGGAAAACATAAAATACTTCATAAAACTTTATTAAACAATTGAAAAATGAACGCAATGCCTATTGAACTCAGAAATAACTACTTTGAGCAAAAATTTGGCTATTCTGTGCAAAAAATATCACATAGTATCAATGATTAACCAGAGATCCACCTCAACTATTCAAGGAGAGACCACGCAAAACATAGCTATTGTAAATGTAGTGGTCGTACATGTATTGATTAAAGGGTTATAAAAGAAGAAATAGTAAAAAAAAAACCTTGTCACTATATGAGATCACAATTCCACCATCTCTCTAGAAAACCCCTATACAGATTGCAGCGTGACCGTGTCATAGCAGTATACGCTTATAGACATCATTTTGTTTGAGAAGGCCAACAAATTCATCAAAATAATTCAATTGTTAGTCAAAGAAATATGAACCTGAACAAAATATGTAACACGAAACGAATAGAGGATCACTAACCGGCCAAGCTAAAATAAATATGTGATGCATTCTTTCGACTCCCGTGAACCGTCAGCAAATAGTTGAGTGTCCACCCTTATTTGCTGCTGATCTGCGTCACTTTTCCTCAGATTATCCACATTCTCTTCTATTTGCGTTGAGTTGTTTTTGCCGGAATCTTTCATGTTGGATTCATGTTGACTGAACTCGCTCTTTTCTGAATGGCATCAATTTTCTACAAAGTAAATTGAAAATACCACTGTGTGTTAAGTACTGGTACAGAAGCTCTGGGGTATCGCACGCAAGCTTCTTGCCTTGTTGTCGCCTAAGGTTTTAGATTTCCAAGACAAAATAGAGAAGGTTTTCTGCTTATGGAACATTGGATAGAAACCTAGGTAAAGCAAAAGGGTAACGAATACTAGTTACACAAAGAAGCGAGCAAAAATATTTGGTTTGTTGGGGAGATACAGTTTTTACTGAAATACCACATACTTTGGTTGGGATAGAAATGAAGATAGGAAAAGTCGTTATAATCCAATTTCTCCAAGGAAGGACACAATGCCGCGAAAACGTTGATTTTTTGTGAAAAGCTTCTGACAAACGGAACAAATTGCTGCATAGTAACTAAGTTAAGCAGGTGCAGTACATTACTGAAGGTATCTTGAAGTGGTGAAAGCTCAACAGGGTCCGACAATAAGCGTGGAACCAGTACATGAATTCACTGCCCATTCAGACTCTTTTTCCAATTTTCCGTTCTCCTTTGATCAAATTCGAAGCTGTTTTCATGGCTTCAGAGCTCTTCTCGTAACGGTTCAACAGTTTCTGGTCAACTGTCTGACGGTCATTCATTCAAAGCTGTCGAAACCACTCATACACGACAAAGAAGCGATGGTATGTTCGTGGTCCTGTTAGAACGCAAACTCAGTAGCGTGCAAGTCATGCCATGGGTCCGAGCACGTAAGATCTCTAAACTGCCCGTAATATCCGCATTCATCACTTTTTCAAGCTTCTGGAGTGTTCTTTTGTGAAGCGACTGGAAGCGCACAACTGACTTAGACATCCTCGCCGCGTGCTGACGTCATCTACAGCGGTGAGAACAAACTACGTTTGGCAGCGATGTACGGCGCCCTTGACGGTCCCATGCAAATCATCAGTTGCAAACGTCAACGTACAGGGTGGACTGGTGGTGACCGTCCACAAAAACGCTGAGGCAACCATTCGTGATCCAGGAAAAGATGAATGTTGATATGAATGTGCAGATTCTGGAAGGTGTTTTGTGCCCGTGGG